GGGATCTGACATCATGGACTGAACCATTGCCAGTGTTTAGGCTGTCTGTATTGTTCAAGAGTAATATGTTATCACCAACACTGTTTATCACCACTGCAGTCCCATGTTAATACTCACCTACAGACAAGCGTTGCAATAATGACACACCAAGCTGTGCAGCAACAGTCGGCGTTGGGCTGCTCCTCGTTTTTTTTCCGCCGGCAGCACAGCCAAATGGAATAGAAGAGCAGGAAGAGGAGGTCCAGAGCCAGACAGGCAAGCGCCACACCTCCCAGTAACAGGATTGACTGGTAAAAAGAAGAATGGAGTTATGGAAAATGTCATAGCTGTTACTGGTTTCTCCTCAACAACAACAACAACTGGGATAAAATGCTTTTAAAGTGTCCCACAATGGAAATGCACACGACTTCAAGTATGTTGCTATCTTATCTGAGTGCTATTTTACACCCAGTCTAAACAGTGGTGTGTGCTTCAATGTTAAACAGAAACATGAAGACAAAATAGTCTGTTGACTGATTTGCAAACTGAAAGACTTAACTGAGAACTTGATCTCAGACACAACTGCAAAGAGCAGCAAAAACCACAAGAATGTATAATGATGTACAATGTGATAGTCAAACCTCTCTCCACTAACTGTAGCTCTTCGTATGTAGGTCAGACAGAGGGCCTATGTGTTCACTGCATGCTCCTGAGGATTCATTGCTGGGGCAGATTTCCATCCACTTTTGTTTTTGTGAAAAACCCAGTGTTGTTCTACTCGTTCAGTTTCCCCAACAAAGCATCGCAGTGAATGACACGCCCTAGTGACCTGTGCAAAGCAGCGAGTGAACACAGCCAGCATTTGACTACTCCCCGTGTTCCCAGTGACATACACAAATAATGCCATGCCTCATCCATGCTGCTCTGCATACTTCAACCAGGAGGAAAGACTGTGATCATAATGAGGATTAATTTTGGTGCATCACATCTTTACCATCTGGGCAAGATGTAAGAATGACATACTCAAAAGTTGAATCACCTAGATGCAGCCTGAGCCCCATTAATGTCTCAGCCATCTGGATGAGTCAAGAATGTCCCTGAAGCTTGAGAGGGAGCATTGCACTGGCAATAATTAGCAGGCTGTAATTAAAGTCAGTCAATAATTATGGTTTGTAAGCTGTCCCAATGATAACACCTTTTATGTGCAGCACTTGTCATGAGAAAACTGAGAAAAGGAACATATAGCAGATAACAGCTGGATTACCCTTTTAATAGTCTTGTTAAAAGCAACAGGGATCTGTTGCTTTTAAAGAGATATTGTTCACACCGAACTTCCTGAACAGCTGTTATCCAGTAGGGGTGTAACATTTCGCAAACTGGGACCAAAGGAATTCTTTTTTTCTCAAGTTGTGGCATGAAGTGAAATATGGTTTTTGAGAGCTGTTATTCTTTTGTTATATCCATCATATCCTACCAGGATAGCTGCTGTGAAAAGCTGTGAACTTTATACTCCTTAAAATGCTCACTTGCTCCAAACTAAAATCTAATCGCACCATTAAAATCAATGTTTAACTAAAGGAATTTGACAGCAGGTAACATGATAGTTCGAACAGGGAAATAATCAGAAGTGAAAGTGTAAACATCCTTTTAACTGTATAAGATCTGGACCATGACCGTGAATTGCAGACGCATGTCTGGAACACGCCTTCCTCGTTTCAGAGGAATCGTGATTCACTTCTCGATTTTCTGAATCTTCTTCCTTGGTAAAAGGGAAACGGGGTTAGATCTTGATGCATCTCTTAAAGTTAACTCATGTCTGTAGATTTTTACACTTGTTTTCAAAATGCTCCTCTACATTAGTCTGCCTGCTCTTAGTAATCACTGACCCAGAGCTTTATTAAAAACCACAAAAGTACTCAGGATTTGGTAATGACGCACTTTCTAACACCAACAGCATAAAGAACATAGATAAAAAGAGGAATTTAAGTCTGTCGTCATAATTATAATTATTATCAAACCTTTTTGCAGATCTCTCTTTATTAAAACCTAAATAAAAACAATTACTTATCAGACTAGCTGTACCAGTTTCCACACAATTAAGGACTGCAAAGTGTTACCTGGATCTAACAACATGGCTTTCACAGATGATAAACACCATCTTTGTTGAACATAAATTCAAAAAGAAAGTAATGCATTGTTCATGGCAATTCAAAGGTATTTATTGATTAAAGGACAATAGAACTAATGGGTCTGAAGAAGGGAATAACCACCTAGAGCTGGGTACCTATAATGAACATAACAAGTTGCAGAGACTCTCCAAAACTCTCACTTTATGTGACCTAAATTTAGAAGATTCTATTTAATATTAATCACATGAACAAACACCCTGCTTTCCCTTCCCCCCAGAGTCTAAACTACTCATTAGACTGTGCAGAATCCTCCTTAACCCCTGCTCTCAGTTTAACCTCCCCGATGTGAGTCTGTTGGAATAAATATATTTTTCCTTTGGGTACTCCAGAGTCTTAATGCCCCCCATGTGGTGTAACAAATACTGACCATGATAAGATTACAGGGAAAATAAGACATAAGGAAGTGGTTGCTTAGGTCATCTTATGTGGCCTGGATTACACTATACATTGCCAGCTGGTTAGTGTCTGGAAAGCTACACACACAGATGGTGTCAGGGATCAAAAGGTGGAGAGAACGATCAGCTGCCACCAATACAACTAATAATATTAAATGACAACCTTACAGGAAAGAAAAAAAAAACAGACTGTAGCCCAGCATGCCCAAACATGCTACAATTGCGAAATGGAGGTTTGGGATTTTATCAAACTGATACCGAAACAAGCACTTGATAATATCACAGCCCCAAGTGTGAGTCTAGGAACTTGTAGGGTATTATTTTACCTGTTGATACGTCCAGTCTTCTGGTCTGAAGTCACTGCTCGTTTGCTCGAACCTTAAGTTGAAATGTGGAAGTCTGTGCAGCAGGTTCACCCACCATGGTGGAGTGTAGCTAACCACCGCTGCCATGGGGAGCAAATGTCAATGAGATCCACGGACAACGGGCTGGAGAGAGGGGACGCTTCAAAGTGTAAACACGGAGGGGAATCCACCTCATACAGTCAATCTGTAGCCGGGGTGGATGACAAAAACACATGCAGTAATGTTTAAGTGTTTTCTTCACTCTGACAATCATAAACATTGCATTCATTTATTTTTTACCTACATATAAAATCCTAAATGCTTTCATTACATATTAATACGAGCCCGGACAAAACAACAGCTCGCTAACTTCACAAACACTGATGCAGCTAGCACTTAGCTAACCTTAACTACTCGATGTAAACCTCAGTCATGCTAGTTACTTTCTGTCAACTTAACTATCTCTGGCGTTGTGTGACAGTTGGAACTTTGCTCTAATGTTAGCTGTAATCTCTCAAGCACAGAAGTCCATTTAAAATCACATAAAATCTTCGTTTTTTAAGAGCTACTTATACCCGTAAAGTAGGTTAGCCAGCGTTAAGTCTGCTAACGTTAGCCGGTTTAGCTGCTAGTTAGTTGAGTCCGCTGAGAGTCGAGGAGGAATCAGAAGAACCAGTCTCTTTTGTTTCACTTGGCATTCTCCTCTGCGGTTTATTGCATCCTGCCTTGCTCATTTGATAGTTCCTCATTTCATCTCTCGCAGTCTTATCCCACCGCAACGACTCAAACTACCGAGCGAGATCTCCAACCAGTTATCGTTCGTGCGGGAGGCTGGAGCCAACCCAACTCGGCGACTGTTCACGACATTCACCCAGCTGGCAGCCAACCCAGCCCCGGCCCGCAAAAAGTAGCCCAACACCGTCGATATGTTTTAAAAAATAAAACATGACCCAACAGCGCCACCCAGAGGAGCCGCAGCGTAGGGCTATTGGGAGGTTCAGGTAATGTCGGAAAAAGTATGACTAGCTGTCTATTGAGTCATAGCTAAGAAAATTGTCTCCACTAAGGGGTTTAAGATAGTTAATTATTTTTTTTGAACAGCGGGAAGAAAAATTAAAAGTCTTGTAAAAGTAATGCAATAAACTTATCTAAAAAATATTAAGGAAGGAGAACAGAGGGAAAATGCCAAATTACACAAAATTACACCAGAACCTTGATGGAATTATGAAATCAGAACAACCTCCAACACCCACCAGATTGCATGTGGTGCTATCTAAAAAAATCATCTGACTGATAACAGCTTCAATTGTCATGATGCCGATGAACCCAAACATGATGCCACGGGAGTAAAAGCATACTTGGACAGAAAAAAGACTCCCAAACCCACAGTGGGACACTATTAGTCATGGATTAGCCTCCCCAGAGCTTGGATCCAACATTACTGACAAAGAAAGAAACAACAGGCAGCCAACATCCAGAGAAGAGCTTTGAATATCCTTTAAGAAGCCTGGAGAAGTATTCTTGAAAAATGCTTTTACAATAAAAAATTACAGTAAAGTCTAACCATAAGAGACTTCAGGCTGTATTAAATAATGAAGAGTCGTGCCAAAAACACTGACTTTCAAGCTTATAGTATTCGGCAAGCACGGTTACAATTTGTATTTCATATTTCTAACAAAATATAATGAAATAAGTGTGGCTCAAGCCTTTTGCACATTATTCCTGAAAATAATGTGTATTGATAATCTGAGAGTGTTTTCTGTTTATTTTGTTTCATGTTTCTATTCTCTTTCTGCTTTATTGTTGATATCTACGACAAAACAACAACAACACGTAAAGATAATACAGCTAAAAACAGTGCGGTTATGTGTACAGCAACAACGATCACGTCAATTAAACTCTCTGCCTGTGGATCTTGTTATCCCTCAAGCTAAAATATAGAAGGAGCACGTGAAGGCACCATTGCTCATGCAGACAAGTTTAAAGAATGAGGAACAGAGAATAAACTAAAATTAAACCTCCCAAGTGAAACCATGAAATAAATATCCCCCTTCGAGACATTTTCCCCCATTGCAAGTCTGATAAACCTCGGTCTCACAGAGTTGGGAGCTTCATAAATCGCTTCTTCACACCCCAGATCCGTTTCTTGGTTCGGATTAATGCAGTTTAAAGGCACAATTGGTGATTAACTGTGGCTGTAAGTAAATTACTGCACTTAATTCATGTGGATTATTCATCTCTGGGCTCGGACTTGCGCCAGCGATCGCTACAACTTTAAGAAATAAATTGCATGTTTTTTTTCTTTTCTTCAGGAAATCACATGGAGGTGCTCCCGTGCTCACATGACAGACTGAACCATGGCAGGAGAGATCAGTGAAGGTAGAGTGCCAAAACTTCTTAAAAGTCCTTTTTATGACAGTATCGCCAAATGATTTCCACATTGGATTTATTTATTTTTCTCGACGTTGCGATGTCGGAAAAGTTTAAAGTGTGAATATTCCTGCGAACTAAAATCGCTATGAGAATTTCTGAGTAGGCAACATTACGATCGGAATCAATCTTCTTTTGAAAAGCCCTCATGTGCGCGTTTTTATCTCACCAGTTGATGCTTTCTTGATACCAGTAAAGCTACAGTCTTGGTGATTTTTCCCGGTAAAGGTTATGTAAGCGGTGAACAGTGCTACTTAGTTTGGGAGCTGTTTTACTTCCATTTGGAAAACTTTCCCTTGTCCACTGAAATACCTAAAAACCCCGTAGTGATCTTATCTGAGCTGTATTAATCTTATCTAGTCCGCACTGCTCTAAAACTGAAGTTGTTAATATAATAATTCCCGATGTTTTTTCTTTCTTTCTTGTTTGTTTGTTTTTTTGTCTGTTTTTTGGATGCCTTAAAAGATTCAAGGCAACACAGTAGCCTGTAATTTCTATGAGGGGTAATATAAAACCACGAGATAGGAAATAAATCCTGTAGTTTCATAAAATTAGTTTCTCGTGACCCCTGCACTGGTTACCACTTCATTATAATGATGGCATATTTCTCATATTTGGGCAGTTGTGATGCTATGTAGGTGTTGTTCCTCTTTTAGGCTCAGTTCCTGCCTATTACAGGGAAGTGCATGAGGCCATCCGCTGTAGGACAGATGAGAGAGTGCAGGTTGAGGTTTTTCAGCGGCTGCTCCAAAGGACCGATCTCTCCAAGGTGGTCTTAAACCAGGTGCGGGGTCCACATTTAAAGCATTCATGCTGCGACAGGTAGAGACTGCATTGTTATTTAAAACTGTAACTTTTACTTATTAACCGGCACTGGCCCAAAGCAGCCTACTGTAATGGACTATACAGCCCACACTGAACCGAAATAATAGAGGAATATCCCATTGACTCATCCCTATTTTTTGCATATTACCAATGTGACACATGCACTCACAGTTTTATAGTGACATGAGGCTGGCATAGAAAAGGATTACAGACTGGTGAATTGAAGCCTTTAGTCAAAGAGACAATTTAATAAATTAAATGGGCTGCTATGCCACATTTTTGCTCAACTGTTCACTTTAATTTTGATAAGGGATGCTTTGTGAGTTAGTGTTAGCAAATGCAGACAGAGTAGATAAAGACATAATATTTTATCAGGTCGCCACTGTGAGATAGGCTCCAGTGCCCCTGTCACCCTGAGTTGGAGGAGTGGTTGAGACAAATGATAGTGGGATGAATATCTTATCAGCAGGAAGTATTGTTGGCTTGTAGGCATTGAATACATAGCGGTGTAGCCCCGTGGTTTTTGATTGCATTAATGCTGAGATGTACAACACATCCACAATATAAAATTCCTCTGAAGTTACAATGTCTGCAGGTTTCCCATTTCCCCTTCCCTGACCTCATTGCATATCATTGCCTTTGTGTATACTGCGCACTTTTCGCAAAAGGAATGCAAACCACATTTGAATTTGGTTGTCAGACTGTAAGATTGTGACCCTGAGGCCATATTGTCTTTGTTCTCTTCAGATTGCTGAGCATCTTGACTCCTCCGATGGATTCCTGAGCAAATTATCACTCTATAAAGCACTCGCTTTGATTGCTCTCGCTCAGCAGGGCAAGCAACCGAGTCCCAAACTCTTGGAGAACTGCATACTAGGTAGGGGACAGTGACAGCAGTGTAGTAAATGTTTTACTTAATGAGTAGTTTGGAAAGTCTTCAGTGTGTAAAACGGCAACGCCAGCATTTCCTCTGCTGTCAGGATAAATCATTTGCAAAGATACAAATGTCGCTCTTTTTATTGACCATGTAGATATAAGGTTTCACTTTTAAATAGAAGTTTTTTTTTTTAAAATGACAGCTCTAAACTGAAAAGTACCAACTGCATAAAATATTCATTTCACTTGCCTCACGTGGCTTCATTTAGTTTTATTTTATTTTGGTAGGGAAGACTTTGCTATATTTAAGTGTTGCATTCTTTCACTAGCCCCACAGAGGGAAGATGACAGGGGGAGAGGTTTTTATGGTTTTCATTGAGGTAGCCATTATGCTGGCTTGAGTTAGATCCATCCCCGACCTTCTGTGATTATTTAAGGCTCTCTCTGTTATTTCAGGTGTGGCCAGTGTGGCAGCTTGCTGCATGCCACTTCCTTGTCAGCTCCAGAATGAGTCTTATGCATTTGTGGGAGTACATTACATTCAATTCACGTTCTTCCTGGAATGTCCTAGAAGAAATGAAAAGCAGATCACATGAATGCTACACACAATACTGGGCTAGCAGGAGACAAACAGAGGGAAACACGTAGTCTTGGTTTTAACATCGGCATTCCTCGCAGTTGGGAAATTCACTTCTCTCTAGATTCATTGATTCAATCACGGAAAACAAATATTGGATCTTGGTTGTTGCTGTGTGGTTGTCAGAGTTACCGAAACCTCAGCTCGGGGAGCCGAGGGACCTGAGCACGCTGAGGATGCAGCCGGCTCAGGACGACGTGCTGACATTGTCGCAGACGCTGGACGAGCTTCTGGGGAAAGACACGGTCCAGGTGGAGCTCATTCCTGAGAAGAAAGGCCTGTTCCTCAAACATGTGGAGTACCAGGTCACCAGCCAGGTAAAACCTGATACATTAAATATGTGTGTTACAATGGTCTAGAACACTATGTGAACTACTACACTATTACTCTTTCTCTTAAATTTTCTTGTCTTTTTGTTTTATTCAGCGTTATAAGATATCAGTTTACCGGCGTTATAGCGACTTTGATGTCTTCCACGAGGTTTTGCTTCAGAGATTTGCCTACAGAGTCGTGCCAGCTTTGCCACCTAAAAGGATGTTAAAAGGAGGTAGGTCAGGGTCTTTGTTTCTGCATCGAATCATTTTACAGTTTATTTTTTTTAGCTGAACATGTCTGTTACTTCAGATTTGTTTGGAGATTATTTGGGTGTATACTCTCGACAGAATGGTTGACAAACACGTAGCCAAGCAGTTTGGCGGGTAAAGAATAAATAATAAGAATAAAGAAACTAGTGATGTGTAAAAATCCAGCTGTTTCCTCTTTATGTAGATTCTTATGCACTGATGAATCCTCACAAACACGCTTGGTTAGACACCGACTCCCTTACGTCTTAATCAACTGTAGAATATTTTAAAAAAATGCATCATCATATGCAAATCAACCTTTCCACCATTGGTGCTTTTTGATGCATAACATCGGAAGAGTTCTCCATTTATGGTTTTTGAGTAAATTGACATGGACTTCAAGTTTAAGCTAAAGTTTGCCCCCTTTTATACCCCGAACACCCCTCTCTGTCAGTGCTAACACTCCTGGTCAAACTGCTCATCGTGTTTGCTCTCTGCTGCGTCTGTCCACAGTCCTGACCTCGCTCTCCGAGCGGGAGTTCATTGAGGGGAGGAGACGTGGCCTCGGCAGATTTCTTAACTTGGTGGCTCGACATCCTTTCTTCTCAGAGGATGAGCTGGTCAAGACCTTCCTCACTTTCAGTGGCTCTGTATGTCGTTTCTTTAACTTACTCCCTGTTTCTTTTGTGCTGGCTGTTGCACAGTAAGCATTATGGTCATGATGACTGACAGTGCAATGCATCCTGTTTTAGCTAATCTGTGTCGTCCCCCCCCCCCCCCAAACTCTGACCTCCTCACCCTCCTCTTCCCACACAGGATGTTCAGTCTAGGCTGCGTGACACTTGTAAGAAAACGGGTGACGAGTTCATGATTAACAGAATCGCAACTCAGGCAAAGGTTTGCACATGGCTGATGACTCCAGTTGTACTTTTCTCATAAAGAATCGCCTGCTTTTAAAGATTCAGACGGCACAAAAGAGCTTTGCCTCGCTTGCGTTACAGGAATATCTCCCAGCTGACATTCAGGCTCAGTTTTCGACAAGCAGAGAGATGATTAGAAATATCCACAACAGCTTCCAGAGGCTGCGGGACAGAGCTGAGAAAATGGTGGAGCGCTCTAAGGACAATGCATCTGATCTCCTCATGTTTGGCAAAGAGCTCAGGTATTTTATTATTACGGGTATAAACTTAATCTTTCTGTAGTATCCGCAGGTATTGGAGTTTTTGGTAATAAGGTTCAAATCCTCAGTGTTATCTGTGATTCTGTTCCTGGTTGTTAACTTGAAATGAGTTTGGCAGCTAGCACACCACAATATTACTTTCTCCCTCTGTAATATTGTATTTTCTGCAGTACACTGGGCTCAGATGCCTCGCCTCTTCCCTCCTTGGCCTCTTCACAAAGCACCTGGGGGACCCTGCGCCAGTCGCTGAAGAGCCTTTCTGTGGAGTTTGCTGTGCTGTCTGACAAAGCTGCTCAGCAGGTACAGCCCTCAGTCTTTCATCTTCACCACCTGCTCTGCTGTGTTTGTCCAAAACTGGCACTGGGTAATAAATGTTGTTTTGTTAATGTCCTCAGGGCCGGCGAGAAGAAGATGATGTTGTGGAAAAATTGAATCTTTTCCTGGATTTGCTGCAGTCGTACAGGGTGAGTGAGTTTCACTTTTGGTTCTCGCCTTTCACTCCACCTCCAGGGGATCCTCAACCTTTTGTGTGGCAGTTACTTTTGTTCTGCCTGCTGTTTTCTGATAGAAGCACAATAAATATTTGTAAATTTAAACTGAAGTGCATTTAGTAACCAAAGTCAGACTATTATGTAATGGACTGTTTTAACCTCACTCCATTGAAATTGCTGTTTTTATTCGTGGGTGGAATTTTTTTGATTTTGCAAAGCAGCTGGTGGGTTAACAAGAAATCATTTTCCACAGCGTCTATCAAATCTATTAACCAAAAAACAACATGCATAAAGTTCTTCCATTACCCCTGGTTGCTATGTGCAGCACAGCGTGTTTCCCTACAATTTGTAGTCAAATAAAGAAGTACTTTGTTTCTCAAGGATCTCTGTGAGCGGCATGAGAAGGGCGTCCTCCATGAGCACCAGAAAGCATTGCACAAGTACAGTGTGATGAAGAGGCAGATGATGAGTGCCACTGTGCAGCACAAAGAGCAGGCATCTGTGGAGCAGCTGGAATCGCGAATTGTTCAGGTGATCATTTCATCTTCTCTTTTTGTGAGCCTTTAGAGTGTGAACTTCTTTATTGCTTTAAAAGTAAAATTCTACAGTGACTGAAGTTCATATAAAAGTAACATGTGCCCTGAAAACACACACACTGACCGTATAATTGTGTGGGTTTGCATATGAATGGAGCTATAGCCTTGTGAGCCATTAAAAAAAATAAAAAATAAATGTTGGGATGAGAGAAATTTGTCAGCTGCACATTATCCTGTTCCACTACATCCCAATGGTGCTCTATTAGATTGAGATGTATTGACTATGAAGGCCATTCGAGTACAGTGAACACATTGTCATGTTAACCTGCTGAAAATGGCCATCAGAAGATGGGGACAATGTGGTCATAAAGGGACAGGCATACTCCTCAATAGACTGTTTAAACACTTAACTGGTACAAAAGCACCTGAAGTATGCAAAGAAAATATCCCCGTGTTTCTACATCACTATCACCAGCCTGAACGAAACAGGGTGGATCCATGCCTTCATAATGTTTACACCAAATTCTGACCTTACAATCTGAATCTCACAGCAGACATCAAGACTCATCAGTTTCCAGTTGTCCAGTTTTGGTGAATCTGTGTGAATTTGTAGACTCGGCTTCTTGTTCTTAGCTGACAGAAATGGTATCTAGTGTGGTCTTTGACTGTTGTAGCCCTTCTGCTTCAAGGTTAGATGTGTTGTGCATTCAGAGACGCTCTTTTGCTACTTTTTATTTATTTTTCTGTTGCTTTCCTATCAGATCGAAGCAGCCTGGCCATTCCACTCTGACCTCTGTCATTAACAAAGCATTTTCAAGCCATTCTCTGTAAACCCTGGAGATGGTTATGCAGACAAAATATACATAAAGTGTCCCATCAATGCATATAATGCTCTCTAAAAACAGAGATTATTAGTTGACTGATATGTGAGATATGTATTATGTACAACAGTCATAAATGAATGATGAAAGGTAATTGCAGTGTTGACGTGACAACACAAAATGGAAAATTTTAAATCCTATAGAATCTTTTAAATGTAATTGAATAATTTGTGTGCTTCTTGTTTTGGCAATGAGAGTAGAGCTTCATCATGTTTTATTTTTTTTCCTTATTTAGTACCAACACTTGTACATATGAAAATAGACAATGCTTACTCTATATAAAGTGTTTTATTTCTAATCATTCCCATCCTTTAATAAACGGTAAAGACATCTTACTGTATGTTTATTCTAATAACAGCAAGAAAATGCCATCCAGACCATGGAGCTGCGTAACTACTTCTCCCTATTCTGCCTTCATCAAGAAACACAGCTTATCTTCACTTACCTTCCGATTACCTCGCACATTCTCGGATCTTTTGTTAACTCCCAGGTCCAAGGACACCGAGAGGTGAGACAGTTTTTTGAAAATAACTTTTCTACAGATCCGCCTTTATGGCGACACCACTCCAGGAAGGTCAAATAAGTTTTAAATTGGCTACTGAAACTGATGGATGGTACAGCTGAACAGACCGAACTTTTTCATCTGGGATTAGAAACCAAGCAAAGCAGTAATGGTTATGTACTTCCTTCTGATCGCTGGTTTTCAGTTTCTGTGGTTCAAGTACTTGAATGCTTCTTTTTTTTTTTTAAAGCTGGAAACTATTGAGTAATATATTCTGTGCAGTAAAATACACTATTGTTTTCCCTTTCTTTTTAGATGGGGGAGGTGTGGAGTGAATTGCAGCCAAAGCTTGGGTGTCTCTTCAGCGGTAACAATGGACTGAAACACTCCATCTGAAACCTAAATGTACATGAGATGAAAAAGGAAAAACACAGCCACTGAGGATTACAAACTACAAAATAATGCTAAAGGGGGGGAGCAGAGCTTTTTCATTCAGTTTTGTTTTGTCTGATCATTGGCCATATCACCTGCATGGAACAGCTGGCTCGTAAAACACTTTATGCTCTGCTTCTGCGTAAAGTCCAGTTCACCATTAACTTTTTATAATTATTTGAACATGTCAGGAAAATCCTATGAAGTGTTATTTTACAACGGATACAAGGCTGGTGCATTAATTTCTGCTTTAGTTAAAGCACCTGTATGTGATATTTAAATTTTCCACACTAAGATGAAATAAGTAGTAAAGGACAGAAAGGCTGACTTTATTAAAGGGTGGGACTATTAAAAACCTTAATGTTCTTGCTTAATAACATTGAACCAGTATATTATTTTATTTTATAAATGTTAGTTCGTGGGGATGTGTATTGGCATACTTTTCCTGCTTTTTGTTTTTTTTACAACAAGAGTTTTCGCTGCCTGAAGTATTTGCAAGCGTCCCAGTTTTTATTTTATAAGCTATTTCAAACATCTGACCTTAAACTGTAGGATAATATGAAGGGCAGAGGTGAGATCTATGAAAGGATAATGTCTGGCACTAGTGACATAATGTCAATAATAACACTATAAGCTATTGATTTACTACCAAAGACAAAGCTGCCTAAATACACTCCTTTGCTGTACATAAAAGCAGGACTCCTGCATCACCCCAATTTAACAATCATCACTTTTAATTTTTTTAAGAAGATTTTTGCGCACATCAGCCAACAGATGTATTATTATCCGGACAAAAATGTCTGAATTTTGCTGGATTTTCTTCTCATTCACTGTCTGACTTTGTACTTTTCTAAAATTATGTACATTTTTGGTTTTTTGTACACACATATAACAGAGAATATACTTTACTCAAATATATGTAACAAAGGTGCAATTTGGGGTTCATGTTAAAGAAGCTATGTTCCAAATTGCAAATGAACTGGTTTAAACATGTATTTTATGAAGAAACTCCCATACAGTATGAAACAATTATTTTAGTAATCGCCTTAATTTTGGAAACGTGCTGCACAGAATATGAAACCTAATGAATTCAGAACTGTATATACTGTAAATATTCCACTAAAGAGGTGCTTCCTGAATTGTGTTGAATCAGATACTCTAAAAATAAAATGAGAGTATGGATGTTTTCTTTCAGTGTAGTGCTGCTTTGATTTTCATGGGGAAAAATCCCTGTAAAGAAATAAAAAGGTTTCTAATTGTGTTACAGCTGCGTAACATGTAAACCCTCCACAGGATATCTTCGTTTCCTCCGCATAATGACACAAAACAGCCGTTGGATTATTCCTGGTATTTCTCACAGGTTTTATATTGGTCCCTGATGTAAATGCCACCAGTAACAGCTCGATTATTTCCCTTCAGAGCTCCTCCACTTCTTCCAGCGTGTGGCTGAGAATCACATCGTGACCCTGAAACTTGAAGTATCCAACAAATTTCTTCTTCTGCAGCATCAGAGGGAACCACAGTATATCATCGGCCCACATCTGACTGAAAGGAATTTTGTCACGTTCGAACCACTGGGGCCTCATTTCTAGAAAACAAAAGAAAAAATAATTAGACCTCCAGAGAATGAAATAGCATTTTATCATCTGCCTTCAGATATCATCTGCCTTTTCACTGTCATTTCTTAGTTACTGTCCAGAGAATGGAGAGAATTATTATTAAATCAATTCAAGTTGTTTTAGGACCTCAATCCTAAGTAGACAACAGACATCTGTATTACAGTAGTGCAGATAACACTTGCACTCATTTCCTGCCTTATCTTATCTGTTTTATACAAAACAAAACTTTTATATGATAAGCTGTTAAAATCAAACACTTAATGTTATTTGATGTGCCTTAAAATGCTCATAAGTGTGCTGAAATAATTATTGTCACTAAAATGACTCTTTTTAGAATTTTTCTAGTCAAAGATTAGAGAGAAAAAACTCCACCATATTCATTCATTCTTTCTTAACCTTAAGAAGATGATAGAAATGGTTGGATCTTTATTTTTTTTTTAATTTAATGGCTTGACTAGACTATTCTTGACTAAACAAACCTCATACTTAATTAATCCCCCAATTGGTTATTAGTATTTTCCAACTTTAATTTCTGTCTTGTTAAATCAGTGTTAAAACCACATTACACAATTTCCCTTAACTTCACCACATTTCAGTTAAGCTTTTTTCCCTCTACTTATTACTTCACCTCCTGACTGTTTGACTTCTTTTACCCTCCAGACTCTTTGGTTCACTGCTAATGCCTGAACGCTCGAGGAGCTGAGGTTTGCCGAGCGCCTCCAGACTTCACCTTGCTGACCTTGGCTAAATTGCCTGGAAAGACATCCTTGCAAGTTCTTCCTGCTAAGGGCATCAACTCTTCTTTGTTTATTTACAATCTTTACCACTGAGAGCACAATTATAGATTTTTCTTTCCACTTCACAAATATACTACACACGCTCCTACTTCTGTGTATCTCACACAAAACAGTCAAATAGTCAAACAAAATCCAACACAGGATACGACTGGTTTAGACAATTGCAGACCCGTTTCCAGACTTCTACTAATTTCTAAAATAACTCGCAAAACTACTGCTTACCAGCTTTTTCAGCTGGTTGAGGGACATTGTACTTAAAAAAAGTATACCAGTGACCAGACCAAACCAACAAACATATTATTGATCTGGTATTTCTGGCACTGCTCTCAAATTTAATAATAGTTATTTGACAGAGACTTCAAAATTCATAATAACTTTGTCTTTATCTTCTCTTTTCCCATGTGACATCTCTCAAAGCTCCACCCTTGTACCATTTCTGCTTTCATTACATATTTCATGTTTTAGAGATCTCATATTTCTTACTGCTGCTCATCTGATAATATGTAGCTATACTTTCCTATTACACCTATCAACCAGTTTTCACTGTCATTACCGACTGAGTGTCTTTAAGTATCTCAAAACTGAGGCCCATGTGTTCAGGCCTGACAGCTTCTTTAAGGAGATCGGTCATTAGCCCTGCAACATCAAATAATCTGTGAGGAGTTTTGCAGTTATTTTGACCAGCATTTGAATTTTGAACCTCAGCTCTCTAGCCTCATGTACTCATTTCTTTCAAATAAGAAACATCACTAAAATCAAACCTTTATTGTAACCTTCTGCTTTGAACACACACTCCAATCTTCTGTCTGCTGTAAGTTATTGTACCTTACCTTTGATTTGCACTACTCAGGGAGGACCGAGTAGTGCAAATCAAAAACCACAAAGTGCTTGCACATCACGCCTATTCCTATTCTTGCTATCATAAACCTTGCATGGAACGCAAACGCCATGAAACCCCCCCAGTGACGCCTGACTCTAGTTATTAGAAGAATTTGGCTTCAATTGCTTTGCTCAGACTGCTTGTTTCACTTTTAATTTTGCTGGAAAAATATAAAACTAGAAGAGCCTGCAAAACAAAGCCCCCTGAAGATGTCAGGAGGAGGTCAAATGCTTTTCACAGACTTCATAGAACTCTTAACTATGAACATCTGCTCCAGTACTGCGCAATTATTAGCTATATTATAGTTTTCCTTGCTACTTAACATTTCTACTCAACTCCATTTAAAAAGCTTCTTTCGGCTGCTCACTTATTATTAAGGGGTCACCAAAGTGGATGGATTTGCATATTCAACAAATTTGATTTTACAAAACCTTTAAAATATTATTTTCAATAAGAAATGTGACAGATATGAAAAACGAACTGTTGATATAAGTTTGGGTCAAACATCACTTTAACAGTAAGTTACAAAAAATGGTTTATATCACATTATTAGGACTCAATTATATTTATTATAAATATATTAAAATATAAAATATTTTCGTGCCAAACTGTTAGGCACTGTGCAACAAACAATCTTTGCATCTCCTCTCATAGGACACCATTATCTGAAACGTATAGGCAACAGTGAACTAAAATTCACCACCCCAAGCTCTCTCCTTCCTCTCATTTCAACCACTTTCAAACTATGATACCACTGGATTTCTTCATTTTTCAGTGTGGTGCAGCGGATGTGATACCATCGGATTCTGTCGGTTCTCCATTATATGTGTCGGCTCTGAAAACATGGACATCAAGTAGCTGCGTTTCTCCCACAAATTCAAATTTGATATTTCCGATCTTGTCGAGTGCATCCACCGTGAGACCACTTTCTTCTTCCAGCTCTCTGAAAGGAAAAAAAACATCAAATAAATGATTAATTACGTGGGTCTTAAAAATAAGCTCACCGTAGACGTCACACGGGCACTAAAAGCAACTAAAAATGGCAAAGTAATGATATCGGTGGTTCTAGGACACAATCTATTTGTGGCATTTGCTTTACCCTCTACACAAAACATTTTAAGATTATTAAAAAAAATTAGTATGAGAGTGAAAGGTCTGGATAAGAGCTTGTGGGCTGAACATTGAGATCGGGGTCAAAGTGTTGTTGCAAACTGCAGAGGGTAGTAAAATATGCCAAAATAGCATGTTCAGGTTGACTGAATGTCAAATTTGTAGTACTTTTATTCTCTCCCATATTTATTTAAAAAGTAACTAACCATGAACTTACCATTAATACACTAATATGTGACGTGCTTTCTAATAAAAATGTGTCGTCAGAGAAGAAATTAATATAAGAGCTTTGTCGCTTTCTATGAAGGTGTGGCAGGGCGTGGTCTGCGGTGCCGCTGCAGAGGAGGCGGACGCACCTGAGCGGCATCCGCAATCACGCCTCGCCGGCATAAAGAGTTTGTACTGGGTCCTGTCAGTTCCTGTTTTGATGATGTGCTTGGCTGGTGGCTGGAAAGCTGCAGCCGTGTGTGTCATCATTCATTTACAGAATGTTAAATCTTGGTAAAGGTACACTTGATACATATCTTACTCATCACAAGAGCTTCAGAGATAAGAACTGTTAGGGGCAGGGATGACGACTTTTAAAAGACTGAAAAAAAATTCAGATTTTCTGGAACGATGCAGTAGCTCTTTTTGTTTTATTTTCAGGGGATTCATCCCAATCATAAAAAAAAAAAACCAACAACTGCAAAAATTATGCATTAGCAGCATCCAAGAAAACACTCCACATTAAAAGCTGCTGGTAGATGAGAGCAGCAAGTGAATTTTAACGTTCCTTTCACAGAATATTATACATTACACTCAACATATTAACAGACACTAATTTATATGATTAGGACTATTAATTACAAACTGCAGTTTTCCTCTTTTTCTTTTTCTTTAATCAATCACACTTTTTAAAAGAAGCTCTTTTGTCTAGCAATATTCTCAGTCACAGCACGTTATCTAAGGGTCCTCATTTTAGCTTTTTAGTCCCCAGTACTCAAGCCAAACACAACCTTAAGTTCCCTTCACTAAAAGAAATGTTTTGATTGGTGTTGGCCTATTCACTGACCAGGACTTATTAAATGGAAGGAGTGAAGCTAGGATTGAGAAGTGGGTTAAGATGATTTTCAGTATTGCCCTTACCTGACCATTACATGAAGAACTAAGTGTTTCTAACTCAGTCTTGTTACCCATTGCATCCAAATATCCTAAACACAAAGCTGGTCTCACTACGTGTTTAAGGAAAAACGGCTTGAGAACTCGCCCGATAGCTTTTTGGGGGTTTCCTTCCTTTGCTTTGAAACAAATTTCCTGCAGATGATTGATCACAGATTGTCCAGACTTCACATTAATGTGTTTCCCCCCACACACTTACAGAGTACTCAAAACATATCAAACTCCCTCTTTTTCAGTCGTTTTCTTAACCCTTGCACAACATTGGTACTTTGCTGTTGCATACAAACAGAGTTTCGTCTTAAAATCCCAAACCCAGTGTTATGTTTTGTCATATGTTTTTAATGGTTCATGTACAAAAGGCCCCGTAGTTATGGGTTTATTCTGTTCAGTTGTTAGTTCACCTGTAGTTTTTAGAGTGGCCAGTAGAGGTCACCCCACCGCTTTGTATGAGAGACTATGTCCAGGGAGAGACGTGGGCAAAGCACCTGAGCTTTTCTGCTCCAGATTACTGGCAGAGAATTGGTTATCCCGTGAGAAGTGTGCGTTAATGAGCAACGTAAGTTGGTGATGTGTGAGGATGTGATAATAAGATGTGTTTGGGACTGTAACCAAGGTTAGGGGGGAAATGATTATGTTTCTGTCTGTGCCGCTAGCGGGTGCTAAGCTAAGCTAAGCTAAGCTAACTTTCCTGCCGTGTGGTTGGGTATAGCTGTGTACCTGGTTAGCTCTCTCAGGGGGTCTACGTGTGAGTCGTGGGTAATATATGGCCTATGGTATTAAAGGGGATGTTGGTTTATTTCCTGCCTGTGTTTATGTTGATGTACTCTGGAGATATTGTTGTGAACACTTTAGTAATGTAGCATTTTCTTTCTGTTCCGTTCAGAGACCACACACACACACACACACATCCATGCCCACGCACCTAAACCTGTATGCAATATCTGCTCCTCTGACAACCTCTGTTACCTTCAACTGTGTGAAGTCAATACAAGAGTCTGCACTATCCTCGGTGTCTTCATTGTCTCCCTTCTGAACATTCATCCGGGCCTTGAGCAGTGTTCTGGCCGACACTCCGGGGAGTGGTAGCTGCAAACCTGAACTAGCACCTTACAGTCCTTCCAGTACAAGCTATCTACCCAACATTAATGGTCCTTCGAGCCGGATGTAAGCTGCTTCTACCCTAACAAGATGGATGATATTCAGAACTTCTCAGCTCTTGGTGCGCGCCCACGGCGTAATGTACGGCGTCCCCTCCGCTATGAAGCTTATGAGACTGACTTTCCCGGGCTTGGTGCAGGTTACCAGGAGGAAAGTGAGACAGGAGGCGACACCCGTTCTTCCCACCATCCTCCGTCTGACCCCTCTGATGACCGCTCACACGGTGATGTCACACCACTGAGAGCAGAATTAGAAGATATACAACGTGAAAGGTTCCTGTTCCAGCAGTCGCATGACCAGATGAAAGCTGGGCTGGCTAATGTCCAGGCCCTTCATGCTAGTTTGCTGCAGTTGTTGGACCGTGTAGAGAGTCTGCAGCTCAGTCCACCGCCCAGAGCCCCTGCTGTTCATCTCCAGCCACCCCCTGCTGAAGAGGAAGAGGACTGGCCTCCACCACCTCCTCCTGTTGTGTTCAAGGAGGAGTCTGTCTCCAGCCAGGGTCCAGTTGCGGACCGCATCGATACGATGCTGAAAGAGCTCCAGGATCTGAAGAGGGAGTCTATGGCTGCACAGGAGAGTAAGATCATCCCCCCACATGAATCTAGGCCAGGTTTCACTTCTCCTCAGCCAAGGATCACCTACCCTCCAGCGCCGCCTCCGAGAGCACACCCCCCTCCATTGCAACCACTGTCAACTCCATCCCCGTCCTCATCTACTCCTTTCTTGACCTACAGGGGGCCTCGTCCAAGCATTCCCAAGCTCTCACGCCGTGATCCTGGGGAATTTGCTCGTCTAAAGATGGCGCTAGAGAACTTATTGCCCCCGGAGAGTTCAGAGCTTTTCAGGTACCAAGTCTTGTTAGATCATCTACACCTGGAGGAAGCAAAGTTGATAGCGGACGCTTACCTCCATTCTGCCACGCCCTTCAGTGACACTATGAACGCTCTTAACGACAGGCTTGGGCAGCCCCACCAGCTTGCCCTGAGAAGAATTGCTGCTGTCATGGACTCACCTGACATCCGCCGAGGGGATGCAGCCGCATTTGAGCGATTCTCTCTCCACATCCAGTCGCTCGTGGGCATGCTGAAGACTTTAGGCCCTGATGGGGAGGTTGAACTCCAGTGTGGCTCCCATGTGGCTCGACTCCTTAGTAAGCTTCCTTCAGAGCAAAGAGCTGATTTCCGTCGGTGCATGTACAACCATTCTGGTCAGGCTTACACCCTGGATGACCTGGCTACCTGGTTAAAGTACGAATCCTGGTGTCAGGACTATGACGGCTTGCCCACCCCAGCGATCACCAGAGAGAAGCCTGATGTCAGACCAAGCAGACGCTCTGTTGCGGTCCTTCACAGTGCAGAGAGCTCACCCAGGTCACCAGGTACCACTCCAAACAAAGCTAGGCAGCAACCCTACTGCGCCTTTTGCGATAACCGTGCCCATCACCTGAGTCAGTGTCAGGAGGTCATCAAACTGAGTCGCGAACAACTCACAGACTGGATAAAGACTAACAAGAGGTGCTGGCGTTGCGCACGCTCCCATCAGGCAGCACAGTGTACCCTCAAGAAACCCTGCAGCCTGTGTCAGGGTCGTCATCTGCAGGTCCTTCACGACGTGAATTCGAAGTTCTTAAAGCCACATGGCTCAGTGTCTGCTCCCCCACGAGAAGGTGAGAATCCTACGGGCGTCCTGTACCTCGATCGTCCTACAGAGAGCGGCCAAGTCCTGTTAAAGGTTGTCCCAGTCATCCTTCACCATAATGGCAAGACTTTGAGCACTCACGCAGTTTTGGATGATGGGTCAGAGAGGACTATGCTGCTACCCACTGCTGCCCAGAAGCTTGACCTTCAAGGCATCCCAGAGACACTTCCATTGCGCACTATCAGGCAAGATGTGCAAACTCTGCAAGGATCATGTGTCTCATTCGAGATCTCCCCTGGTGGCAAACCTAAGCTGAAGTACAAAGTCCGCAACGCCTTCACCGCCACCCGTATCGACCTAGCCGAGCACAGCTACCCGGTGGAGTCCTTGCAGCGGAAGTATAGACACCTCCGAGGCCTGCCTCTCCAGTCCTTCAAGAAGGTCAAACCTCTCCTTCTGATTGGCAGTGACCACCCACAGCTCATCACTCCAACTGAAGCTGTCCGTCTTGGTCCACCGGGTGGTCCCGCCGCTATGCGCACCAGGTTAGGGTGGACACTACAGGGTCCCTCCAGCCTTATAGGTTCCTCTTCGCTGTCACAACAGTGCCTCTTCACGACCGCCATTCCTCCCCAGGTGAGTGAGCTACTCAAACATGTAGAGAAGTTATGGCAGGTAGATGTTGTCCCGGTGCCAGAAGGCAAGGTGGTTACCCGTTCAAGAGAAGATAACTATGCAGTTAGCCTGCTAGAGCAGGAGACAGTTCGTGTAGATGTCGAGGGCATCCAACGCTATGCCACCCCCCTCCTTCGCCGCGAGAACATGCCACACCTTAAAGCTAGCCCTAACGCTGTCGTTCCCAGTTTGAGAAGTGTG